AAACAGCGTACTCATTACAACCAAAATTATACTTGCGTTAGCAAAATTTGCTGTTTACTTTCGTGCTTATTTGAACAATAATACACCCATGAGCTTTTCCATGTCTGTTCATCCATCTATTCGTGTACAAAAAAAAACTGCTAAATGAATAATAGTTAAATTTAATATTAGGCAGTTCACCTCAAATTTGTTGAGACATCCCCCTCTTTTTATAATTTTTTTTAACTGAACAAGGCTTACACACCTACATGCATTACCTTGGGCAAAACTTTATAAATATTTACTGGAAATAAATGTTTGAATTTAAGTTCCTGAAAAAATGAACACATTTTATGGTCAATACAGTTTTTCAGCAATGGTTACAATTTTTAACACAATTACATAAAAAGAAGATTTATGCTGTATCATTTAGAAACTCAACAACCAGTGGACTGATTTTGATCAAATGTTATGAAGGTCTTTACAAATCTGCCCTGCCTGTTTTAAGCTACTTAAAAGAAGGCATTAAATATCAGGATTCATAAATTTAAAATCTAAAAGCAATAATAGACCAAACGCACCAGAATTATTACACTATGCATACATGTCACAACTTATGTGTTCATTTGTATTGTGAAGTGATCATGAACAGTTGACACCAACTTCACTCTTTATCATTTAATGGGTCTTTCATTGATTGTTTCCAGGGCTGAACTTACTTTATTAAAAGAACCAAAATAAATACATAAATACATGAAACATAAATCCAGCACTGATTATTAAAGCAAAAGAATTCTGTAGTCTCCAGGAATAAGTGAGAACACTCAAAGTTAATACTGATCACTTAATATCTGCTTTACTGTTCCATTGCATACACCAAGCCATAAAGAGCTGAGACAGTTATTACTACTACACAATGCAGATGCCAGGGAAATTGACATGAACTTCAACATTTGATATAAAATATAAGTATGAAAAAATGTCACAAAAGATGCACCCTAACAGATTTCTGGAGGCTAGAAAATAGGTTTTGAATATCATCTGGGTAGACGGTAGATTTTCTTATGCATACACAAATAACAACTGCAGATACCTGAAATCTGCTTATGGTAAGACCACAGTTTGTGAAAGATTATTTTAAATAACTTTAGTGATACCAAATACCACAAAAAAATATTTTCGAACAAAATAATAGCTTTGGCACATCAATAGGTTAAGTTCACAGATATGTAAATTGTTGGGAACAAGTCAAATAACTTAAAATTAATATGACTTAAACTAAAAATATTCCATCAAGGAAAACTGGCATATGCTCTTACCCCATTAACTTCAGCAAGGCCTCGAATCTGCATTGCATCAGCCAAGTTGAGGAGTCCTGAAAGCTGCTCTTGATATATGTTAACCTCCCCACTGTACATGAATGTTACTAGAGCACACAAATCTGTGAAGTTTGCTCCTGGTAATACTATCACAGGATGTTGCAAGGGCTGCAGTGCCTGAATGCAGGTGAAATACATTTCAATAAAATAAATGACACAACCACAGAATTAGGATTTCATAATGAAGACCTGCAAAACCTTACAGACCTTGAAGAGTTCTTTGAAGTACTGACTACATGCAGACAGAACCACCCTATGGGCACGTAAATTGCGTCCAGCTGCCGACAAGGTGACATCTGTAAGGTCATCACCGTCCAATAACTGTGGAAGGGACGCAAGAAGGCTGCTCTGGTAATTGTGCCACCGCAAACAGAACTGTTGATCGGAGCCCATCACTCCACTGCCAAGTATTATAAAAATACGAATCAGTACCCACGGTGTTCTATGAAAAATATATATACTCAAACATATGGCCCAGCTTCTTCAAGACATTAATTTAACGGGCGTATTACTCCGTTCACGTGGACCATAAAAATTACAAGGTCTTCGGCATATTTCCCTCTTTGAGAATCTCATTGAAGAAAACCTTCCAGTAGTGTCTATTCTTACCCACTTCTACTGCTCAAAAACTGGTTACAAAACAGCATATTATAAAGGTTATAAATAGAAAAATAAATTATCTGCATTTACAGGATATTGAATTAAAACTCTATAAACATCATAAGCATTAATACCAGTAAATATACACATACAGAGGAACTATTTACGTTTAATTGTTTTCTGTATGGGCACCCAACCACCACCAACAGACAGTTTAAGGCCTCGTCTCCGGGATCTTCTGGGTCTTAATTCGTTGCGCTCAGTTGTATACGTTCGTTCATATTAAAACCGCTCAGTACCGCTCAGTGTTGCTCACACATTCGATGTAGCAATGTGCTCCGCGGGTAATTCAACCCCACCAAATCCTTCCATTCCATTGCCAAGTAAGGATTAAAAACATGTCAGACAACAATAGCAGTAATATGGACCAGATAAGTAACTTAAATCCCGTTAACATCAGGGATGAAAATTTCCTTGAAACGCTGACAAAATGCGTGGATGACACACTAATAGAAATAAAAAAGTGTTTGGATCAAGTTCTTGATTTGCGTGGTAAATAACTCTTCTATTGCTCTCAGACTGAAATGACAACTTTTATCATTACACATTTACAGTATTAACGAGTCTAAATGTGTTAGTATTTAGATTAAACAAAAACTGAATATGAAGTTTTCAGGCAATGCACATTATGAAATGATCAAATTAAAAATATTCAAGGGAACAGACTTATAGCATGCAAATAATTCTGTGGAGGAAGTTAGTTTAGTGAAGTAGTTGTATTGTCTCTTGCAGTTCATACAGCAGAATTAGAAGTGAGTTTAATGATACTATACAATCCTGACCTTCTGAATGGTTTGGAAGAAGTTAAGGATATAGGCACTTTTACAGCTCATTTGCTGAAAGAAGATTCTGCTTAAAACAAAATAATTATGCTTAAAATAAGGTAAGACCAGATAATATAAAAAGTAGCATGTATGAGCTAACCATTAAAGAAAATATTCAGTGATATTTCAGGTTGTACCTGTGATAGTTGTGAAGATGGCTGTCTTCTGAGATGTTTCACTATGTAGTCTAGTAGATATTAAACATTTCAGAGAAGCTTATTGCCTCCATCAACAGGGATCACATTGTCCCTTCAGAAAACTTTTCTGTTCATGTGGTGGGGACATGTCAGTGCACTGAATGTACTGTACATAATCACAACAAATGTTCAAAGTGTCCTACCTCCACCTGAACACATACCACATGGCAATGTTGTATTGGGTTCCTGATAAAAACTAGGTGCTAAAGGTACATCAGAGAATAAAATATATTTCTAATGTCTGTTGAATTTCAATGGAAATTACTAGTTTTAAATTATAAAGTAAATTATGAAGTAAAGAATACTACGAAGTAAAAATACAAAGACAATATATATACCAAGTAGGATTTGAGGTTTTCACAGTGGTGAGTCTAAAGATGGCTGACTTCTGGTTTGTTGCGCCGTGTAGTCTGGTAACAGTTTAACGACGTTTCAGAGGTCCTTGCTGCCTCCATCATCATCGCCCTGATGATGGAGGCGGCAAGGACCTCTGAAACGTCAGTAAACTTCTACCAGACTACATGGTGCAACAACTCAGAAGACAGCCATCATCAGATTATATACTCTTCATAAACACTGTCTCATAACAGGTTCTGTTTAAAGAAAATATGTCTAATTTATTTTTGTATGCATATTCACAAAACATTATTTAATTTTCTTTTATAGTTGATTCAACACAAGTGGGAGTTCATATGAAGACCTGTTATAGCTGACAAAGTCAAGAATACAATAATAAAAAATCATTTGCAACATGTAGTTCAAGATAATCTTCTATTGGAACAATTAATTTTATTTAAAGTCAACTGTAATGCAATTATGAGTTTACTAACTGTAATAAAGTATCCTGGAAATCACTATGTAGAAATGTGTCTATGAACAATTAAATTACATATACTTCTTTAAAAATATTGAACTTCATTTTATTAACAACTGACAGGAGCCATCATCAAACTATATGCTTCAAGGTCACAGCAAAACTGTACAACTTTACAACACAAAGAGTGGAGCCGTGACAGGTAAAAACAGCTCAAAACTTGCAGCACAGAAAAACTAGTAACATCATACTGTTGACTTACAGCCACACAATGAAGGAGGCAAAATCCTTGCATGACCTTAAAACACAATTTAGTGACATGTAGTTTCTTGAACACAAATCAGTTAAACATACATTTCATTCAAGGCGAGTAAAATATAGTCATCCAGAATATGATTATGGTAATGAGATGATATAGCAAGTTCAATTTGAAATGTAAACAAAACATTTTAACTTTTTACTTGTCAGGTCACTGGTAGCACTTCTGAGTTGTGTACAAGGGATACAGAATTCAAAACTTGGCTGGGTATTGCTGTTGTGTTTGGGGAGTCTTGTGGTTTCTGTCCATATGTGAATGCTTGGTTACTACCTTAAAGAAGGCTATGGCCATTTTAATCACTGTTATTTCCACTTCACAGTCATTTATCACACTACATTTCCATTCATTTTGAACTAATTAATTGCAATATAATACCCAGATTTCTTTCAGCAATTTTGATTTGACACTATATATAATTTATATAATATAAAACCCTATACTATGGATTGGACAATTGGGGTTCAATCCCCAACAGGGGCAGAGGATTTTTCCTTTAGCCTCTGAATCCAGACCATCTCTGGGGCCCACCCAGCCTCCTATCTAATGGGTACTGGGGTCCTATCCCGGCATATAGTGAGACAGCTATATCAAAATTCTGTACCAGTTAACAGCACTTCAAATTGAAGATAAAGTATTATAGATACTGAATACACAGCTGGCATATTCCAATTGTCAGTAAATGGCAACTAATATCCAAGAACTCCTTAAAAATAAATTAATAATTGTGCAGTCAAGTGAAGAGACACATCTTGGACAGCATCTCTCAGTTAGTTCCATTAATTCAAAATGGAAATGCTTGCACAAATATAATCACAAGTACCAAGAACATCTGTAGTCACTAAGTAACTAGACGTTTTATTTTCATTCAAACAAATTTGTGTACATAACACATTTCATAGCTACACAAACATTCAATATTCTTGCATACATAAATAATGAACTTATCCACTGCAAAATATCATAAACTCATTTTCATTACCTGTATAACTATTTTATAAATAATAAAACACATATTACAGACACAATAGAGGCACTAAAAATGCAATGGAAAAAATGACCATTTCTAAAACAATCATTTCCCACACAGGTAACGCTGAAGACAAGAGGTTTTGAAATAAATTTTAAATTTTACAATATATTTTGTCCCATTATAGAGAGGGTAGCAAAGAATGTGAAATTATACAGATATCACATATCTAACTTAATCATAATGCACAATTATAAGAATTAAGGCATATTCTCATCATCTTACACAGTCACGTAAGTATAACAAAATATAAAACATTCTAATCATTAAAGCATAATGGAAAAAGGCCCAAACTATAACAAACATGACAGACAGATAAAGTGTTTCACAACAGGACTTCAAAAGCTGAAAAATAAAATTTTTATGATACATGGGCCCTATTACAGGCACAAGGACAGTTTAGGACTCTTCCTAGTCCATGAAGGGCAATGTCTCCAATTTCTCATTCTTCTAATAATTTTACTCCAGAAATAGGAACCTTGCAACAGTAATGTCTAAAATTCAATATGTGAGATGTGTATGCTTATATATTTAATACATATAGAAACAAATAATTAAATAGCATGCAAACGACATGAATAATTTCTGCACCTGAAGTACTTCCCAATTTATAAACATTAATAAACTGAAATGTCATATTTCATGCCAAAAGTCAGTTGTTACATGTCAAGTACTGACAGTATACTCCAAACACGAATATGTCTGCAAGTTTTTTTTTAACTTCAGGTTTTAATACAATCAAGGACTGTTCTTCACTCATATAAGTTTTCTCCTTTAAATTACACATCAGTGCCTATGCTGATCTAATATTCATTTGTGGATACACGGATCACATGGAACAATAAAACTGATATTCAGAGGCTATTTTATATTACAGCAATAAGAGGGATTACTGGCTGCACATGTATTTCCTCCAAAATGTAAGTGAGGTTACAATTTCTATAATATTTTGCCAACATAAGGGCACTCTAACATGAAGAATCAAGTGCAGACTCTCACTGATGTAGCAGTACAGATGTACTGATATTTGTATTAATAATTTCTAGTCGCAACGTTCTTTGTCAGAATATTTTCTGACAACAGATTTACACATTTCCTGGGTATTAACATATTTTAAAACACAATACATACCAGATACTCTTTCCAACAGAAAGAAAGGCTTAAACCCAAATATCTTTCAAAATGGAATTATTAATCCCCGTAACACAGAAGAAGAAGAAACTTAATTAACAGATGAAGTAATTTTTTTTTAAATAGTAATAATGTTGGAATAAGCTATATTACTGTTCAACACAAAAAAGTTTAATTCCCATCAACTCTGACGAGTCATAAGCTATGCTAGTATGGATCACGCATGTCAGAACTGTTCATTCATAACACATGGCATATTGTCAAACAAAATTATTAAAAAACTCACAAGAAGCTAGCAATGGTGCTACATGAATGCCTGCAATGATATTCAGTCCAAATGCAGTAAAGAATCATTTGCAGTCACAGCACTATCAAAGCTACAGAAAAACATCTTATGACATTACTAAAAATGTCTCTTACATGTCAGTAAAAGGTTTGATCTGCATAAAATTCTCAAACATAAATATATGGCATAAGTTCATGCATTACACACTATATATATTGGTCCACATCATTAAAAACAGAAATTCAACAATACTTAAATTACGATCCACATGCACACATAAAGCACACTATCCTGTTAATGTCACTTTATCACTTACTATATACATCAGCAATGGAATTAAAATCAATACATTAATTTAATTTCACAAAGGTTCAGAATATCTCTGCCTATGAAATACACCATCGCAAAAACAGACTTTTATCATCCCTGAAATTACTCACAGTGAATCCACAAGTTTTGATGATTCAAAACCAAATCTTTAGCAAGAGACTAAAGTAGGCAACATCTGAGCAATCTAAAGACAATAATTACAAACATAGTGCTTTGTAGTGTACTGTAATACTACACACCACCAAGCTCATATAGGATAATAATATATCCTCCATGTAGTGAAAGGCACACACACAATGGCTTCAGGTTTGTAAAGCATTTTTAAGCTTAGACACATGCAGACTATAAGAAAGCAAATGTGTATGTAAATACCCCTTAAAGGCCCAAAAAATACATACAAATAATTAATGCCTTATTTTAATGCAACATATAACTTCCACTGATTGTTTAAACCAAAAATTCTCATTATCTAACTTACATGAAACAGCTGCACCATTTCTCTACTCTGAAAAATTAAAATATCCTATCAAATTGCACATACGTGTTTTCAACACTTATTTTTCATGACACTCTAAAATCAGTTCCGGGAACCAGAAAACCGCAAGCGGAAGTGTCCAGGTAATTCAAACAGCCATCATAACTCTTGTTAAGTTCTGGAATGTTTGTAAATTATATTTGTGAATTACAGACACAAAGTCAGTTAATATGCACTCTTCTTTTACCAAAATCAGTGTACTGAAACCTCCTATGATGTTTGTGATGAGATCAGCTGCAAAAAGATTTTTACAAAACAACTTCTATCAGGGTTAAATGTAATTAATACAGGCCCAAAAGAAACATAATAGTATAAAAACAGAAGTAGATGTAAATGGGAACTGCATAAGCAGACAGAGCTTTATAATATGTAACTTACTTGGTACAGGCACAAATCTGAGCAATAACTCTCCAAATAAAACGAGAAGTTACAGCATTATTGCTGGGTACTTGGAATTCACATTTTGGTTCCTGTTACCAAACTGAAAGTTAAAGCAGCCAGGTACAATAGACTGAAGTAATGAGAAAGAAATTGCACGATCAGTTGTATTCATAACCAGAATTTCACAAAGATTTAGAAAGGTTCATAAGCATTCAGGTTACATACTATTACATTTCTCATATACACAGCCAGGGGTTTCCAAACACAAACCCATGAAGAATCAAAGCCTAGACTCAGACAAAGTAATGTTAAAGTAGATTTTAGAACAATTTACTTTAATTTCTGAGAATTCATAATAATAGCTCACTAAATTTTGATAGCATTACATCCAAAACAATATGTCAAAAGACAATGAATACAGACACATTTTAGATTTTTCCTTCAGAAAGTGGCAAATGTCTGTCCTAGCATTACTGTGAACTGATCTAATAACAATATTTAGTGATGACTTTTACATTCAATGCCAGAAAAAAGTAATTTTGGAAAGGACATTATACTAGGAGCTTAATCTATTAGTAAACTGTCACAGCACAAAGTTTATCCATGAGATACCAATGGAAGTAAAAATACAGGTGTCATATATGGAAACAAAAGTTATGTCATGATTTTGCTAGAAATAGACTGAAAATGAGTCACACAAACAACAAATGTGGAAAGATAAAAATACCAGCTGCTAACTGCAGTATTTTGTAATCCATACAGTCTTTCCATCAGCATTTCTTACAGCAATTTTGCATTCTCAAACTGACAACAGATCGTTTCAGTGTTATTTCATATTGAAATCACAAAACTGAAGCTCAAAATCGTGCATAAATAAGGAAATAAAAAGTGTTTAACAGGTTTCCTTGATAATGTATTCTACATCTACTTCACTGAATGTTTTATATGACAAAGATATTAATACAAATTAGAAAAATGTACAACTATGTCAAAATTAAGATAACATAATAGATACAAGCAACATAAAATGTGAAGTGGTGAAGTTTTTATGTCTGTATGCATTAGCAATGTGAATACTGACACAACAAAAATCCTAGTCAAATACATGCCAACAAAATAAGAAGCACTGAAGTAATACAAAAATAATGTAACAGAACAGCTGCAACATTTCCGAGAAAGCAAGACAAGTGGGATAAGTGAGAAAGGAAAATCATATTCAGAAGGCAGTAAGGACGTGGGAGTAGATAAAGGAAAAGCACAAACATACGGATGCAATACATAGCAAACTTCTTTCTGAATTAATTCATAATACTGAAAACAACCAATATTATTGGAAACCCCTAACCTTAACAAATGCCATAAGCTTTATAATCAACATCATTAGAATAAATGTTTGGGAAAGGTCAAATCAAAATACCAATTTGTGATTATTTTATACTTGTTCCCAGGACTCAACACTGGAGCTATTGGAGTGAGATGAAGTCTTGCTTGAATCCCTCCTCAGTGGTGGCAGTTCAAAGTGCCACTGCTCATTTGTGTTTACACTGCTCGTGTATTGATCAAGAGGTGGGCGTGCTCGAATACCATATGTTGTGGGACGTTTCTCTGGACAGTGGGATAACATCAACTGCAGCAACTCAAACTAGAATATTATGTACTTTATTAGGAAAATGTGTAAAAACGAATGTAAACATTTTTGATCTTGTGTAATATAGTTTTGCATGGTCAAGCATTTACATTTCTTGTAAGGCATAATATGTCACAAAAAAAAGCTGTAGGCTCAGTGGGCCCTCGAACTGGCCTGGATGCAGAGGCTAGAGGAAAAATCCTCTGCCCCCGTCCGGGATCGAACCCCAGTTGTCCAGTCCATAGCCAGTCACTATACTGACTGAGCAATGCCAGCTCATATAATGTGTCATATAGTTTCCTTATACTGATGGTGACTTCTCGAGGTACTGACAGCAGAACCGAAAGGCTTGACACTTATTATCAGTTATATGATCCTGAGCCAGATTAACAGTTCAAATTATTATAATATTTTTTATGTGTAAATCTAACACTCCTTCCTCAATGTCTTCTTGGTTTGTCACCCTGTTTTTGTGCGATTCATCTCAATGTTTGCTGGAGGTGTTGAATCTTTGGATTTTTGGTGAGAGAGTTAGTTAGTTAATCCACGATGTGTCACAACTGTAGCCATCTTTGAATGACTAAATTATTTTCAAACTTTAGGGCAGACTGACTGGTTCATGGGCTTCAATTCCACTCAACTACTAAAGCTGTATTCATAAACAATTAATGTCAATACTTAAAGTAAGATATTGGTAGGTACATCACCTCTGTAACAGATGTAATGTTCATACCGTCATCTCTCATGCCTACTGCCTTGTTTAAAAGAACAGAATAAAGGTGAGTTTGGACACACACTCTATGACCGCAGTCAGCCTAATTATATTTTGTAGATAA